TCTAAGCACTCTGTCTGCCATCATCGCTGGTGCATTGAACCCGCTTCTTACGGTCATCTATGGCCTCCTAGTTGGCTCATTTAAAAGGCATGCATATGAAATGGAAGATAGCTCTCGATTGTCTTCCAGCGTTTCCAAGTTCACACTCTACTATGTCTATCTTGGCATCGCAGAATTCATCCTCATATATATCGCAACCGTGGGATTCTACTATTCAGGGGAACGAATTACACGGAACCTACGACAGGCGTATCTCAAGGCCATTATCCGGCAGAATATCGGGTTTTTTGATACCCTTGGTCCAGGAGAGGTTACGACAAGAATATGCGGAGATATGAATGTCGTCCAGGAAGGTATATCGAGTAAAATCTCAATATTTCTCACAGCTATTGCGACATTCTTATCTGCTATTATTATCTCCTTTTTGAAGAACTGGAAACTCGCCTTAATTCTCCTTTCAACTTCTATCCTTCTAGGGGGCGCAGAGTTTGTGGGGGCAGCATTTGCGTTAAAGTACAGCAGAGAGAATTCTGCGTCCCTAGCCAAGGGAGCATCAGCTGCTGAGGAAACATTTAGCTCTATCCAGCATGTTTCTGCTTTTGGGATCCAGGCAGCTATGGCCAAACGCTATCAGACCCATCTAAATACTGCCGAGAAGTGGGGACTGAAGATGCGTCTGTCAGTTTCAGTTATGATAGGAGCCGTCAACGCATTGCCGTACCTTACATATGCATTGGCATTTTGGCAAGGGTCTCGCTATATTGTCAGTGGTGAGTCAACCGCTTCTGCAGTCGTTACAATCGTCCTAGCGACAATAATTGGGGCCTTTGCGGTTGGGAGAGTTGCCCCAAGTGGAGAAGCCTTCATTAGTAGCATCTCGCATGCGGGAACTATTCTCAAGGCAATCGCTCGCAAGTCGCCGTTGGATCCATTTTCTACTGAAGGATGTCAGCTACCAAAAGTCCAGGGAAATATTGAGTTGCACAATATCAATTTAACCTACCCATCTAGGCAGCATGTACAGGTGCTGAACACGGTAAGCATGAAATTTCCTGCGAATAAAACCACCGCCTTAGTAGGTGCTTCCGGATGTGGAAAGAGTAGCATTATTGGGCTGATAGAACGTTTTTACGAGCCTACGGGAGGATATATCAGTAAGAGTGTTCTGCAGTGAGTCTGGGCTGACCGTTGATGCTAATATTACCTGCTCAACCGGTAGCATTGGACGGGCATGAGATATCCGACTTGAACCTGAACTGGCTTAGACAGCAAATTTCGTATGTTGTCCAGGAGCCTGTCCTGTTTAACCGGAGTATTTTTGAAAATATTCTGCTCGGCTTCCCTGACCCTGGGTTGTCGCGACCAGAACATGAAACGCAGGAGCTCGTATATTCCGCTGCCAAAATGGCAAATGCCCATGACTTCATCATGGCTCTGCCTCAGGGGTATCAAACTGAGGTTGGGACCAGGGGGCTACAGCTCTCAGGTGGCCAACGCCAGCGGATTTGTATCGCCAGAGCCATTATCACTAACCCAAAGATTCTACTCCTTGACGAAGCCACATCAGCCTTGGATGTCAAGTCCGAACGAGCAGTTCAACAAGCGTTGGAATCAGCAGCGCAAAACCGCACAACAATTGTGGTTGCTCATCGTCTATCAACTATTCGCAATGCTGATAACATCATAGTGATGTCGAATGGCTCTGTGGTTGAACAGGGGCGACATGATGAACTCATGAGGAAAAGCAGGATGTATTCCGCTTTGGTAGAAGCACAGCAGATGGACATTCCCCCACAGCATCCCGTAGAAGAAGCAGAAGAGAAGCACGTTCTAGAAAAAGAGCGCACGAGAGAGGTTGTTACGACAGCCAGTATCGAAGTGAATCCATGTCCGGATGGCAGCCCCAACGACAGGCATCAGCAAGATACCCAAGAAGGACGGCGTCCGACCTTTAAGACCTATTTCCAGACTGTAGCACAACTTAACCGAGAGGAGGCACCTGTAATTTTTACTGGTGTTTTTCTCTGCTTCATTGCAGGCTGTGTGATCCCAGTGTAAGTCTTTGATAACTATTATCAGCGGTTACCTTGCTACTGGCAATGATGATAACAGGGATATCCACCGACAGACAATCCGTTTTCTTTGCAAAATCGATCAATGTTGTTTCTCTTCCACAATCTCAATATACTCAGCTTCGGAACGAGATCAATTTCTGGTGTCTCATGTTCCTGATGATTGCTATTGTCAACTGCATTGCATGGGTTGGCCAGGGAACATGTTTCTCCTATTCTACGGAACGACTATCTCATAAAGGCAGATACCAGATGTTCAGGTCTATTCTTCGACAGGACCAGGCATTCTTTGACCAAAAGGAGCATTCACCGGGAGCATTATCCGCATTCCTCTCCACAGCACCAACGGAGCTCGCGGGCCTTAGCGGTGCGGTAATCGGCGCCTGTTTGACGTTCATTGCCACTATTGTAGGAGGAGTCATCCTCTCCTTAGCGGTGGGCTGGAAACTTGCCCTTGTCTGTGCAGCAACAATTCCAATAATGACAGGCTCCGGCTACATTCGACTCAGAGTTCTCTCGCTCTTTGACGGCCAGATGCGGGCAACCCATCAAGAAGGGGCCATGTATGCTAGTGAAATAATCACTGTTATCAGATCCGTTGCCTCGTTGACGCTTGAAAGCCATGTCCTAGACGAATACAGCCGGATCCTGGCCCAGCGTGCAGCCAAAACTATGAGATTTATTCTGATAACCTCCACTCTATATGCTGCGTCCCAGTCTTTTACATTCTTCTGCATGGCACTTGCGTTCTGGTACGGCGGAACGCTCCTAGCCGATTACGAGTATAGCATGCTTCAATTCTTCATATGTTTTGTTGCTTTGATCTCAGGGGCACAGATTGCAGGGGCTATCTTCAACTTTGCTCCAGATATGAGTAAAGCGCTACATGCTGGCCAGCGTGTGAAAGAGCTCTTTGAGCTGAAGCCTAGGATCGATACGTGGGATAACTCAGTCCAACGCATTACTGGCAGCACTGGACAGATTGATATTGTGGATGTCACCTTTAGGTATCCAAACCGCCCTGAACGAGTGGTTTTAGACAGGCTCAACCTCAGTATCGGCCGTGGCCAATATGTGGCATTGGTAGGGCCTAGCGGCAGCGGTAAGAGCACTGTGATTCGCTTATTAGAGAGATTTTTTGAACCAACTGAGGGTAAAATCCTCGTGGATGGAAAGGATATTTCCCAGCTCAACATCAATGACTACCGGAGCTTAATGTCCCTTGTTAGCCAGGAACCTACCCTGTATGAGGGGTCAATCCGGGATAATATCATTCTAGGCACCGAGAGAGAGGTAAGGGAGGATGAGCTTGTGCAAGTGTGCAAGAAAGCGAACATTTACGAGTTTATCTCTTCTCTACCGTGAGTAGTCTGGGCCAATTTGATTTGTCATTTTATGACCACTGACGAATACTTCTAGTGATGGGTTTGCAACCCTAGTTGGCACTGGGGGAACTATGCTCAGCGGAGGCCAGAGACAGAGACTCTCAATTGCCAGGGCCCTGCTTCGGGATGCTCGGATTCTGCTTCTTGACGAGGCCACGTCAGCGTTGGACTCTGAGTCTGAAAAGGCGGTCCAGGACGCTCTTGATAATGTTAGCAAGGAGAGAACTACTATTGCCATTGCCCATCGACTGAGTACAATCCAAAATGCGGACTTTATATGTGTCCTGGATCATGGCAGGGTAGTTGAGAAGGGAACATATGCTCAGCTGCTGGCCAAAAAGGGGTTGTTCCATAATTTGGTACAGATGCAAAGCTTAGGGGCTGTTGGACCAGTGAACTAAATAACGGTAAACAAATACAGCAAGAAGCAGATAATTCAACCATGTTTTCTCGGTATGAGTTGTATCTGCTGCCATGTGAGCTTATAGGCTCTCGAAAACCAGGGCAAGTTCTGGTCATACAGGCATCGCTGTTGTGCAATTGTAGACTTCATCTCCAATACACCATTCTCCGCTTTGGGATCTGCCGTATAACGTCGAAACGCATGGTGTATAACTAGTTAATGGTTATAGACTTGACCAGCAAACCTGCCGTGACACTGTTCCCCCCCATCCTCCTCCTCCTCCTCCTCCTCCTCTGTCACCTCGACCAGGTCTAACCAAAGCAGCCTAGATGATCGACAGGTTGACAAGCCAGCCGACCAAAAGGAGAGGGGAGAAAGCTGTCTACGGTATCACAGAACGGGGAGGCGTAGGCCCGTAAGGAGTCACCGTAACCCCAGGCTTCCTACTATTGGCAAGGGAGATGCAACGCCGGAGCAGAGACACAAACCGACATTCCTCCCCGTCATACCAGCCGTCGATGCAAGGATGCAGCCGGCTTTCAAGAAAACTAATCAGTACGCAAGACCATCGCCGGGCAATGAGACCGGAAGTCGAGACGCCGTCCCTAGCATCCGGGCAGCTTGCTAACCCCCCCTTTTCCCTGGGAGTAACTAAGCTGCCAGCTGCAAGCTGCAAGAACTAGACACTTTGCAACATGCACAGCCGTCTATAGCCATATTTTACTGGCCATAAGGCCTCATAAGATTCGAACTAGGGGCAGAGTTAGGAGTAAGTAGCTTTTGCTTGTTTTCTTGCTAGCAAAGCGGACGTCATGATCGTGACGTACGCTGGCTGGCGTTAACTAGCCCTCCGGACCAAGGTTTCGGATATCCCAAGTCTCTGCCCTTCCTGTTGACTAGCGAGAAAACTTGATGCTTGTCTGTGAATAAAGGTATGAAGTCTGCGGCCGGAACAGCCCCGGGGCCCTTGGATAACTAGCTGCTAACTATAGCTAGGGGGCTCTTAATAAATACCAGGCAGGATGCCTCGTCAGCTTGAGATTCTCTCCTTTGGAGGCACACTTTTCTTCTTAGCCTGATATTCTTTCTATACCACCATCAAGCTATACCGGCAGCCATCAGCCCAACTAGAACAGAACGATGGATGTGCTTAAGAGCCCCGAGTTCGCGGAGTATGTGAAAAATACCATAGACCGGTACCATGTACCAGGCGTGGCCATCGCCGTCGTACAGGGCGAGCACATCGAGTCTGCAGGCTTTGGAAAAGCATCCCTCGATCCTCCTGAAGACTGCACGCCTGACACCCTCTTCGACATTGCCTCGACCTCCAAGTCGCTGACTGCGGCGTCGGTTGCACTGCTTGTCGACGATAATGAGAAACACCCGCAGGTTCAATACGATGCTCTCATGGCTGATCTCCTACCAGGCGACTTCGTGATGCCGGGAGACGGACATGGGGATGTTACTCTGGAGGATATCCTCTCGCATCAAACTGGGATGGCACCGTAAGATACATCTTGTCTCTCCTGCACCTGGTTCTTGACCGACAGGCTCTAACATCCCGAACAGAAATGAGTATTCGCTTATGGGACCAAACGCAGCTCAGCCTGACGATGCACAGTCCGTGACTAGGAGCCTCCGGCACCTGGTGACCATAGCCCCCAATAGATCAGAGTATCTCTACTGCAATCTCATGTATACCGCCGCCTCGTACCTGGTCGAGCAGAAAAGCGGGCTCAGCTTCTCTGACTTCCTGCATGCAAACTTCTTCCAGCCACTACGTATGCAATCTACCCATCTCCAGCCTTCCGCAGCCAGGTCGAACGGACTCTCTCACCTCCTGGCGACAGGCTACTTCTGGAACAAGAAAGGAAACAAATACACGCCTATCCCATGCCACGATTCCCCCGAGTCACAAGGGGCGGGAAGGATAATTTCCAGCGCAAACGATTACATTCGTTGGGTTCGGGCGTTGATGAACTGCAATGACCCCGTTACCAAGAGCATGTATGAAGGGATGATCAAGAAACGTATCTCGCAGTCGCCGCCTGGCGAGAGCGGAGATGACGAAGACGAAAATGAGCATAACCATAAGCCTTCGCAGGCCTTCGCTGGTGCTGGGGTCGAAATACTTGAGTATAACGGACATGTCATGGTGAGCCACGACGGGCTCGATCTGGGGTTTGGAGCAACGCATTTTTTCCTGCCTGAACAGAATTTCGGGGCAGTGATATTTGGGAATTCAAACAATGCGTCTAATGTTGCGAGGTTGATCAAGTATAAGCTTGCGGATTGGGTGACGGCTGGGAACGAGAAGCTGTACTCAAGCTTGCTTGACGGAGTGTCTTCGAGCGAGAGCGACGAAGATGAGGAAGAGGAGGAGGATGAAGATGACTTCACTGATATCGAGAATGAGATGATTGATGAGTTATGTGCCGATGGAGGCGTGAGGAGTGATCAGACACTGGCCCTGTCAGCTTATACAGGCGAGTACTGGCATGACGGGTACAAGGGAATCAAAGTCACGCAGAAGCAGGGCCGGTTGTTCGTTGATGCGAGAGATCGATCTGTGAAATTCACTCTGGAGTTCATGCATATCTGTGACCAGAGGAAGTATATTGCTTACATGGTCGAGATGAATGAGCAGGATGTCCGGGATCCTTTGAAAGCGGAGTTTGTGCTCGAGGGCGAGAAGGCGGTGCAGCTTGGTCTGACACTGGAGGATGCATGGGATGGGTATATTTGGTTCAAGAGGGTGGATGCAGCGGATGTATAGACGGAGAATGAAGAGGAATTAGAAAAGGGGGAATTGACTTTGATATTATGCACTACTCTTATAGTATCTTAACCATTTGCAAGAAAAAAACAACGCCGTAGAATTAATAGAATTCAATAGGGTCAGAAAACAACAGTATTGGCATAAGTCTTGGGATCGTGCAGAGAAGTCTCGAAAAAGAGTAGATAAAAATGAAAAAAGGCGCTGAGGCTAGGGGCGTGAAGGGGATGGACAGCTAGATTGCCATTCCTGCCAACCTGCCAGCCTAGCGATGAGATGCTATGTAAGCTGAGTGTGCGCCAGGGGGAAAATAAAAATACGTAAGAGAAGATAGATGTAAAGGAGAAAGAAAAGGAGACAAAGGGAACAGGACGGACGGATAGGAATTAAGTGAACCTAGACGTATCGAAGCGAATGTGCCGAGTAGTTTGCATGGGTTGATTTTGGTTAAATTTTGGTGACAAAAATAGTGAAATCGAATGGGGTTCAAAGCCAGCTTTGTGTTTTTTTTGTAAGCGAAGATAAGGAGAAAAGAAGGCTGGTTTAGTGAGAGTGAGTGGGTGTTGTTGATGGCCAGGTTGATCTGATGCAGGAAAATACTTCATCGCGGTGCGTCGCTTCGCTGGGGTATAATAATCGAGATAGATGTAAGAAATGGAAAGAGAAACAACACAAAAGAACCAAGGCAAGAGACAGCCGGATATTCCCCCCAAAAAAGAAAAATATTTGCCCCAAAAACCGAGTCCAGAGCCGAACCGAAACCAAGTCATTGGAACCACCAGTAAGTAAGTAGAACCGCCTCGTTAAAAAGTGAAAAGAAAACAACTCCATGCCGTTAGCAAGTTAGAGAAACTCGTCAATGTTCCGCATTATTATTGGCTCTGTAGACTGCTGCGGCGATCGTGGATCATACATCACTGTCGGTCTGTTGATTGGAGACGTTGGTTGGTTGACCTCGAGAGATTTGCGAACCGAATCCACACCTGCTAGACCCAGACCGCTAGCGACGGGAGGCAGAGCGGGAGCGCCAGGGGAGAAAATACCCGGCGAGAAAGGAGATGCGATGACGAACTGATCTGTGGTTTTGGGGGAAAAGATGGTTGATTCATCAGGAAGCGTGGTTGTGGGCGCAGGGCAATCGGCCATATGTACGTCTGTGTCGCCGTGTGATTTGTTAGGAGGCTGGAAGAACGAGCGGTTTGGGAAGAGGGTTTCTGGACGAGAGGTGGAGTTGGAGCGACGATATGAGTGGAACGTCTGATATTTTTCACGTAAGGGTAATGGACGGGGCAGCACACTGCAGCGTTTGGATGAAGAACCGTTGCTATTGCTATTGCTGGCGTTGCTGCTCTTGCTGCTGCTGCTGGTAAGGCGAGAAAGGCTGAACGGGTTGTGCGAGAAGAAGCTGAATCCTGTGTTTGAACTTGACTGGCTCTCGAGGGAGGGTTTTTTGAATGCCGGAGAGGACGATGGGAGTGGCAGTTGCGGTGCCTTCTCTTGGGCAGCTGGACTGTCAAGCCATTCCGGAGCAGGCTGCTTGCTGGTATTGCTCTTGTCCTGCAGTTTGCTTCGGAAGTCTGTCAATTGATAGATGAGACTCATGTTGGGCCCTACCCAGCGACTACGGGCTTTGACCATGCTGTAGACGGAGTTGAAGTCGAGATGTCGATTTTTGTAGAGTCCATAGGCAATGACGAGCGAGGCAGAACGACTGACACCGAGCTGGCAGTGGATGAGGACTGATTTGCCCTGAGAGAGACGCTCGTCGATCATTTCGCAGAGCGTGTAGAGGTCGTCTAGGATTTCGGAGTTGTGGTCCCAGGGAACGTGTATGTACTCTGGCCGTTGGCAGGGGGTATCTTCTGCCTTGGGTGTGGATGGGGAATCTGACTCGGCCTCCTCGGCGGTGGCAGATGGCGGGTACTCGAATGCGGACATGAAGGTGGCATCTGAGGTGGCGGTGGAAGGCTCTGAGTTGTGTCTGCCGACATTTGCTTTCCAGACGGACATGACAGTATCCTGTCTCTCTCTGGCAGCGACCTTGAACGGGTTGCGGACTTCCTTGGCTACGTTGAAGACGACATCGAAGCGAGAGGCCTCTTCATGGTTAGGTTCGAGGTAGAGATACAGGCCGGAGTCGTAGATGAGGACCGGACCGTGGGGGTACCCGCGTTCGGAACCCTTGCGAGACTCGCGAGAGATTGGGTTATCATCTTCTTCGTTTAACCTCTCGAGCAATTCGTGTTGTGTGAAGAGGTGCTGTTGGTGGGTTGACTGGCTGTTGGATTCATCTCGGGAGCCGGAGAGGGGCCGTTTGCCTGGGTTGGTGGTGCGCTGCTGTGATGACATGGACGGTCTGCTGCTGGTGTTGGTGCTGTCCGGGAAAGTCGGGGAAAGAATTGAGTTAAGAGACGGGGAGGATTCAGCATGACGAAGGAGCGGTTTTAACGTGGGGGTTGGGGGCACCGCATTTGAGCCAAAGGAGCATCGGTTGAAGCCTGGTGTCTGGATGGTAAGGTTCGGCGGTTTCCTCTTGCTGGCATTAGTGGTGGTAGTGTGATGGTGCATTGGCGAGGGCGGCGCGGAGAGGTTCCTGGCGCTACTTTCAGTGATGGGCGCGGTGCTGAGGGGAGGCTGTCGACAGGAGCCCGGCTGTGGCAGTCTGAGGGACAAGTTTTTCAGGTTTCTTGCCTTCCGCGAAGGGGAGGACTCTGGTAGGTTGCAGGACTCCTTTTCCCCGACTGTAGAGCTGTGTTGTTGGTGTTGGTGTTGTGGCGGTTTTAGATGTGGTTCCGGAACTGGAGAATTCACTACTCGTCCCTCTGGTTTGCGCAGTGGACCCAGCGGGGTGATTGAAGTTGGCGATTCCGGAGACGAGCTCGGAGACGTCTCCATGATGATTGGTGAGTCGAAGGTCGAGCTGCTGGTGGTAGGAGATGAATCGGTTGACTCTGAGGTTGCTGAGATGCTCTCACGCGGTAGGTAAGAGAGTGGCAGCGGAGATGCAAGTGAAGGGTATCGCGCCGTCGTCGTGGTCGTTGTTGTTGTTGTCGATGTCGATGTCGAGGACGAAGTACCAGTGCTGGGAGTAGCAGCCCTGGTAGACATCAATCTGGGTTTCCTGTCGTGCTCTGCTGTCGAGTCTAGACCAGACTTGCTGTACGCATCCTGCAGGTTCGAGTGAACGGTCTCAGGTATCAAGAAAGGCGCCGAAGACGAAGGGGGCGGCGGATTCAGTGAGGAGTGACGAGTCGACCAGCTGAGCCTTGATCGAGAGAGCGAGCGAGACCTGCGTTTCGCCTCTGAAGCTGTCGTTGGCAGGGACGATGAGGTCGGGTGAGGCATTATCGGCGGTTGCGCAAGCATCAGACCTCTCTTCAAGTATTATCTGTATATAAGTATAGTTTATATATATATATATAGAGAGAGAGAGAGAGAGAGACAGAGAGGCGGTAGAAGCAGGAATAGTTGTGATGGTGATGGCGAATGTCTGTGGTTTATCAGGTTAGCATGACCAGCCAGACAGTTCCCATGAGAAGGTCATGGTCATCATGAACTCCTCCGGGAAGAAAACGAAGGAATAAGAAGAAAAAAAAAAAAAAAAAACAACGCTGAAACAGCATGCAGTCAGGCAGGGCGCGGCAAAGCCATCCAGCAGCGCTTAGCTGGCGTTGAGGATGATGCAGTAGTGAGGAGGAAGAAGCAAAAGAACCCACCTTTCTCCGTACACACAGCCTTCCCTCTGGCTTAACCCCCAGCTTCGAACTACTTTTCCACCACTAATCGCATGGGAAGCCGACGACGATCGGAAGGAGGAACAGGAGGAATGTCCAGCAAGAGAGAAAGGTCCGGTTATTGCCAGTGGTGACGGCGGGTCGAAGGGATCATGGGTGATGGCTGTTTGTTTCGCCTTTTGGTGCGAGTGTCTTCCGCTGTCCACCTTGGTCGAACTGTCTGTTTCACCACCGGCCGGAGCTACCACCAGGAGAAGCAGCTGGCGAGGACAGAGCTGGAGACGATGGTAATGTATAGGGAATATGGGAATGTCGAACGAGGGACGTCTTTCCACCTGGGAAGAGACGGGGAGAGAGCAGGCGATGTAGTAAAAGGAAAGACGGCGGCTAAAAAAAAAAAGAGCGTGGAGTCGAGACGGGAGCAGCCCTCGTCAGGCTGTCTGTCGGTGGAAGGAGGACGAGGCCGGCGAGAGGAAGAAGAGGAAGAGGAGGACGAGGAGGAGGAAGAAGGAGAAGAAGACGAAGCGACGGCGATGAAGAGATGAAGAGATGAAGAAAGAAGAAGAAGAAGAGAAGAAGAAGTTGAAGTTGAAGTCGAAGTTTGGAGTCGAAGTAAGAGACGAAGCGGGAGCGAAGGAGGTTTTGGGTAAGGTTGGTAATACACGATACGAGAGATACCATCGATACCAACTCTTGACGCTCTTCTGTTGGTGGTTTCTGCGTGGGTTTGGGGCGGGTGGGGGCAGGGGGGGCGCTAGGGGAGGCCCGTGACTTGGTATGGTCAGGTACGGTACAAGACGGTAAGTTACCACTCCTTACAGTTACTTCTACTTCTCTATCAACTTCTCTTTCTCTCTATATCTTCTTCTTCCTCTTCTTCTTCTTTACTATTCTTTTATTATTATTATTCTTATTATTATTATTCTCTGCTTCATCTCTTCGTCTTCCTCTTCTTCTACTTACTCTCATGATGTCTTTCTTCTTTGCTTCTCGTCTGTTATTGGAGGCTGGCTTGGCCGTCTAAATATAGCATCAAAACACTCAAAGTTGGCCTCCTCAGCTGCTTCTTCTCCTTCTTCTCCTTCTTCTCCTTCTTCTCTGCTGTTCCTGTTTCATCTTTTAGCTCGAGTCGACTGGTGTTGGCCCTCAAGTTCCTCTGCCACCCTCCTTTCTCCCAGCCAACCATGGCCAGCAGAAGAGCAAGCTCAGAGTCGATGGGGGAGGGGGATCTCTCCGCCGCCCGTCTGTCTCTATATATAAACTAGTACTGGCTTTTCCTGGAGACATGGGTTTTGCTCGTAAGTAACGCCAGGACAGGCAAAAAAGAAAGTGGAAGAGACAGGAGAAGGAGTGGGAAAAAAAAAAAAAGCAACGCTTGCCGCAGCGGCAAGGACCAGCCAACCAGGCGTCTCAGGGCCTCACTTTGGCCCCTTCAGCTAACGAGCAGGAGTCGGCAGTTAGTAAGTAAGAGGGCAGGGCAGGACAGGACAGGTAGGATAGGCAGCGAAAAAGAAGTCGAGTCAAGGAAGAAACGACTCCACTGGTGGGTGTTATGTATCTCGCCATCGCCAGGAGATGTACGACATTTTCTCTTACTTACATACGAACCCGGGCCATAGGGGCGGGCACATATACCGTCTCCTGGTACTCCGTAATAATGAACAACTCGGGCAGGTCGAAATGTCGCAGCGTAGGAAAATCTGTGAGAAGCAGACGCAGCAGCAGCAGCAGCCACAGAGCAGTAAAAAAAGGGAGTACGAGACGGATGGAGAACCCGAACGCCCTTGACGCCCTCGTCCCTGTGCTTGCCTCGTGTCCGGCCGGAAGACGCAGCCGTGGTCAGCTTGCGCCATCAGAGGTAAGGAAGACCTTGCATCGTCTCTCTTCTCGAGAAGTACTCCATGTACATACTTAGTAACAGTCATGTACTGACGGTGACGGTACGGCCCTAGGGTTATACGCTGTTCAGCCTAGTTTTTGGTCCAAGAGGATATAAATAGATAGACGTCGTTTCACTCGAATCGGCCATCAATAAGAAGAAGACGGCTCTCTCGCTCGCCTGGTTCATCTTACTTACCTGCAGTCTTCCTGCCCTGCCCTGATCTTGATCCTGATCTTGATAATTGATTTCTGATCCTTGATCTCGATTCTCTCTCTTCGACTTCTCTTCTTCCTGCTTCTCTCCCATGTTCTCTTTCTTGCTGCTGCGGACGAGCTGCTGTCAGGCCCTCCTCCCTCTCACAAAGGTGAAACCGCGGAGCCAAGGAGCAAGACCCTCTAATAATAAGATGTGAAACAGCGATACGGATGGACGCTGGAGTCCCTCCACCCGTGCCCATTACTCGCATGACCATCATCGTGGAGATATTATATGTTCGTGCCGGTGTTCATCTTCATGTCGATATGTGTATGTATATTATGTTATGGCCTTGACGCTTCCCTTTCTCTTTGCTTGCCACTTGGGCTTGCTCGAAGCACCAAGCACCAACACAGACCAGGGGAAGGAGACGTCATAACTAATTCGTCATGGCTCTCTCCATTATCCCGTCCGTCTGCATCCATCCGTCAACCAAGGCAGGAATTATAAAAAAAAAAAAGGAGAATAGGAGAGAGCGGACACACGACACACACTACCAGCCGTCTCGTCTTGTCTCATCGAGTCTTGTCCTGCACTCTCTCTCTCTCTCTCCCCTTTCTTCCCTTCTTCCTGCGTATGGAGTAGTCAAATTAGTTTAGGCCTGCTGGCTAAGTCTGTAGCTAATTCTCCGGTCCGGAAAGACAGGCCGGGACCCCCTTGGTGGAGATGTCTTCCTGTCGTCTCTTTGGGCGGTTTTGCTCGATACCTAAGTATATTCATTCTTCCACCAGTTCCCTCGCGCCTAAAGATGGTAAAAGTATCCTGCGTATCGCGTGAAATGCACCAAGAAGTGGTCCCGTCCCCCCTCTGCATGAGATGTTTAGGTTGTAAGAGCTGCTGGTTGCGCTTCTGCAGGCCACCAACGCTTCCCCATTGATGTGTGTTTCAGAGCCAGATGGTGCGAGTTGCGGGTGGATGTGATCGACAGGCAGGATGACCTCGCTCGTTCCTCAGGCTTGTCTCGTCTCTGGCTTGCCCATGGCCTGCCTACTCGTGGATAACTCGTGGGCAGATCGTGGGAGGACGCTGCTGGATGATGCTGCTGCTGGTGACATCTCTCTGCCCTGCTCCTGATGCACTCTCTGCATCATCGTACCACGCTGTCTCCCTCCTTGCTGTCCCGTCTCTGTCTCCTGTCCCTCGTCTTCGTCCTACAGCCCTTCCCTCCGTCCTACTCGGCCGTCGGGGATATTCTGGGGCCCAGCAAACCTGTCCAACGTCGCCTGGGTAAGACGCTTGACGCCGGAGAGGGGAGAGTCTGTCGTACGCGGGAGACGCATCTCCAACGACCTCCATCGTCCAGCATCGTCGTCTCTTTCTGCGTCTCCTGCGTCTCCTCGTCTCCTCGTCTCCATGTCTCAGGTCCCGTTCCTGTCCCTGGCCGCCGCTGCCTTTGCCCCTGATCCCGTCCCAGCCTCTGGCCTCGTCCTTTTCTCCTGCTCCCTCACCCGTGGATCCGTGAAAAGTCAATTGTATCAAAGCCCAAACTCTTTGACTCTTGGACAGGTCGGATTTCGCTCTTCTCTGCCTGTAGCTAGTAGTTAGTAAACCTCCAGTCCTGTCTGTATATCGCGAGAAGAAGAGGGACTCAAAGACAAGGGATCCAGGCTAGCTCCTACGTAGCGCGCTGTGATTTGATTATCTGCAGGCGGGAAGGGCTGTAAGTCATCGCCGGCCAGCCGTCTTTATTGGAGGAGCCCGTCCTGGTTGATTCTTCATTCACTTCACTTCCACCACCATCATCATCATCATCATCATCGCCGTCTCGCTCGCTCGCCTGGCTGCTTGCTTTTTCTTCCTCGTCTTCTGCTTCGTCCTTTTTTTTTTTTTTTTTTTTTTTTCCTTGTTTGTTGCCCAAAGGGCCGTCTCTCCGCACTTCCACTCTTGCTCTCTCTACTCCGTACTGTGACTTCATCCATAATCACCATCGACCAGCCACCCACCGCCGCCGTTGGCTCTCTGCACACAGCGATCCTCCCGGCCTGAAACCGCGCCCGTTCGAGTGAGAAGGCAAGGGGGAAAAAAACGCTCCCTCAACGATGGTGTGAAGCTAAGCTGCCGCCTCCGTGTTCGTGTGCCGCCTGCGTTGTTGACCTTGGAGATCCAACTCTGCGCCTCCCGAGACGACGAGCAGCACCAGCACCAGCAGCAGAAGAAAGCAGCAGACCAGACAGACAGACGCGCGACGGAGGGAGAGAGCGCCATGCTGCTCGAAAAGAGCTCGTCGGCCTCCATCACCACGCTCGTCACGCCCACCAAGTCCGCCAGGGAGAAGGGCTGGCTCCGTAACCGCCGGCAGACTGACCCCTTGATCAGGGAGCCCGTCCAGCTGCCGCAGCCTCGACCCAACAGACACTCCATCGACGCTGCAAATGCGAACGCCAGCGCTGGCCGCCAGTCCAGCCAGCAGCCTGGCTCCTCGCCGCTCAGCTCAGAGAGCTTCTCCAACCCGGCGCTGGCCTCCTTCTCGCCCAGGAAGACCAATATCCATACCCCGTCGCGGCCCTCGCATCAATATCAATACCAGCTGCACCACAGCAGCAGCAACAACAGCAACGGCTCCTCGACCGTCAACTCGCCTACCCCTTCGCACCACCCGCACCAGCTCTTCTACACGCCCACGCCGCTCCGGCAGGGTGACCAGGACCAGTACCAGTACCTGCAGACCCCGTCCCGGCTCGCTGAGGAACCGCCGCCGCCCTCGAGCAGCCCAAACATCCGCCATATCACCACCTCCTTCATCAACACAAACACCAGTCTCACCAGTCCTGTGTCCCCCGAGAGCAATACCAACAGTCTCAGTCATCACAGCCATAGCCACAGCCATAGCCATAGCCATAGCTTCCATTTTACGCCCGCAAAGGACTCCAAGTCACCGCACTACAAGCGTGCTCCAGCTTCCCGCAGCAGTCTGGGCATAGAAACCGCTTCGGGACCACCGCCGGCACTGAGCACCCAGCAGCGGAACGTTGCGCAGGATAAACAACAGTGGCAACTCGTCTCGACCGCTGATCCGCCACTGACGCGCAGGCCGACCTCAGACTCGACTTCTGCATCTGCTTCGGCCTCCCTGGATTCAGATCCAAAGTCCAACTACTCGAGTGCCGGCACCAGTACATGTCTGGACACGCTTCCGCGCAAGGAAGATACCAGCAGTAACTGTAACAGTAACAACAACCACACCAACAATAACTCCCCCAACAACAACAATAACAACAACAACAACAACAACAACAACAACAAAAATACTACTACTACCACTACTACTACTACTACGGCTATTACAAACAATACGGACATGTCAACGAGTAGAGACCGGAGTCTGCGCTCGTCAGTCTCGATGGAGGACAGTAGGGAGAGAGATGCGCATGTTGGTGGCGGCAGCAGTAAGGGGTCTCCCCGGGGATCCAAGGCTGAAGACCTCTTCTTGAATATAGCGCAGACTTCTAGTCGACTCAGCTCTGATTCCAAGGCTAGGCGGAGGGTATGTACATCAATGCTCTCTGTGAACCAAAAAGACATGCGCCAAAGATACTAACATTGTACAACAGTCCAAGTTTGGCCTCTCTTCCCGCGCAAAGACAACTGAAGATACCCCTTCACCAGACAGAGGCCACTATTCCTCCTTTTCTCAAGAAACCTCACCCAGGGGTAACTATGAACTCCCTTCTTCCAGGGCCCCTGCTTCAGCTCACCCACTAGACGAAGCTGGTCGTTCTCGGTTCTTCAGCAGCTCAGGTTCAGCCTCAACCATTGGACGCACAAGACCGTCACGCTTGAATGATGAACTATCCCCTGAGCACTCGCAGCGCTACATGCCAGAGAGACGTGATTCAGTTCCCGACTTTGCGCAGAAAAAACCATACAAATCGAGTCTCGTTAGCTCTCGCAAGACCCGCGCAATGACAAGCTACGAAGCGGGAACGGATCGGAACATAGGAACAGATACAACTACAAAGTCCAAAAATGATGGAACAGAGTCCACCATGTCAACCACTGCTCCATCGACCGTCTGGGATGAACTGGATGATCTAAAGTCACGGATTCGAAAGCTCGAATTGACCGGAAAACTCCCTTCTTCGTCTGCCGCAGCCATGTCTTCAATGGCGGGAGAACGGCCCCGAACGGCCACCACCACGGTAACGACGGTATCCTCATCACCAAAACATAAACAAAAGGCCAGCTCCAACTCGCCCCCCGTTGCTCCGCCGATACCGGTAGATACCGATCCAAGCTTCACGGTTAGCCAGGTTCATCCTCTCCTCCACACTGCCCTGGCCAAGGCAAAACCGGTTCTGAACCAGGAGGTCTACCAAGCTCTCGAGTCTACGGCAACGGATGCAATCAACCTTTCTACTGCCTTGACTTCGAGCATGCCACATACCAGCAGCATGTCTGTCGTTACTTCTGCCAGCACTCCGGACCGCGTCCTGCGTCGAAAGGCTGATGGCGTATGCAGGGGCCTTACAGAGCTGTGCCTTGCTCTCTCCGAAGACAAGCTACGGCCCGTTACCATCTCCCGATCAAGGCCAGGGAGTCGAGATGCTACCACCGTGAAGATCTTTTCCGCCGGTGAAGGCGAGCCAGGGACGCCATACCGCCGAAGCGTAAGCCATGAGCCCGAGGACTTCAACTTCAGCCGCCTTCAATCATCCCTTAACCGCGACTCTCACAGCCGGCGAACCAGCGCCCTCAATCTCTCCCCTAGCATGACGACCCTAAAAGCATCACCCCAAGAGGTACCAGACCAGTCAACGACCCATCTAACGACCCCTTCACAATCACGAGCCAACCGCCGCTCTTCTCTACTACGTGCGAGACGACAGGACCAAGAAGAGTATGATACCAAGCTGCAACCTACCACAAACAGCTCTCTGCGCCCCGTCACCCGCTCCATGACCGTGGCAGACAACATGCATTTGGGCAGAGACCGTTTCCACCGCTCATCCCGCGAATGTACACCCGAATACGCCAACAACCAGCAGGAGAACTCCCCAAGCAACCAACATCACCATCATACTCCTCCATTCCGTACTACGACCACCACTACTCCATCAGCCTCAACACCTCAGTCCGGAATCCCACTCCGTCGCACATTCCTATCGACAACAAGCAATATCCCTACAACCTCGCCTGTGTCCATCCAGCCTGGTTCCCGCCGCTACGGAAGCGGTCAACCAACCATCCGGGCTGTTGTTGACGACTACTCTAGTCCCCGGACCAGTTTCGGCGGTGCTGAGGATGACTCTCCCCAGCACCGAAGTACGGCAAGGACAATCTCACATTTCTCTCAGCGTCCTCGAACAAACAGCCTAGGTACTCGACGGACTCCTGCCATTACACTCAACACTCGACGGACTTTCGAGGGAACTCCTCGCCGCTAATTCAGCCAAACACTGCTCGATCAGCTAAATATTCGGACACAGCAGTACCTGCACACACACGGAGTATTCTTTACGTTTTCGCACTCAGCTTTAATCATCTCTAACCTGTTATTCCTTTGCTTTGCTTTTTTTTTGGCACTAATGAGATATCAGACCTTTTCTTGTCTTTGGCTCTGTCCCTTTCACTGCTGTCTTTTTTACTCGTTCACCTCCTTTTTTTTCTGCTTCTCTTCTTTCTTTCAGCTGTTGCATATTTAGCCCCATTGCATTGTAATCTTCATTGCTTCCATTGCCAGGCATCTTTATCTGACAGGCGTACATACATATCATTCTCATGCATTCCCCTCGTTATCGATCATACCCTACCAATACCCCCCCCCCCCTACTCGACCGTCCTCCTACTTCTCTCTTTTACTCATTTACATCCCTTTCTTCTCTTTCATCTCGCTGGAACGACGGCACCCCCCCAGAACCTCGCTATTAATATCCCTTCTCCCTGTCTCCTTATCAGCTCTGACGAATCTGCCTACGACCCGTGAAATGATGTATATACAAGCTATCACTTACCTTACCTTTGCCGCTGCCGAATCCGCCCTTAATGGACACTCTCCGGGCCTTCTACTTATCCAGCGTTAATCCAGCTCTGCTTTCTACTTGCATGAGAAACAAAATTTGCAATATTTCCGTCCTATACTTTCTTTCTGCATCCTTTATCGCCTTGTTTCAAGCTGGTGTTTTGGAGTTGCGTACGTCTTAAAAAAGTGACTTACTGATGGGTCATTGATAGTCGTTGATAATTTGATCTGACTTGATTTATATACAGCATGTTCATCATTCGTAGTCCCAAGTAACGTAACTTAGGCAGCTAGCTAAGGATATCTTTATCTCGTCTTCGTCTTGACTTCCTTTCGTCCGTCGAATAACTAACTAGTTACTCGCATTTGTGGCGTCGTTCGTGGGCTTCATGCAACCTCATCCACAACTTCATCTTCAACTTGCATCTCTTCCCTTCGCCTTCACACTCCTATCTGTCTGCTGGTCTTCGTTCATTCCAGCGCCCGAGATGGCAGATGGCTTCCACTCTCGTAGAGGAATCCTCCTTGCTCCACCATCGACTCGTATTGCGCCTGGAAACCGGACTCTGCGGGCTCCTGCGGCTCGTGATGCGATCGGTTCATGCCTAGCGAGAGGGGGGATGAAGTAGCGAATACTTCAACATGATTCCCTCTGCGTTGACTCTCTTCAAGTACATCTGCTCTCACCAAGGCCTGGTGAAGTCTTTTCAAACTATCCCATCGCCGCTGCGCGAATACCCCCGTGGATAGTTACGTCGCGTACTCGGGAAGGTCGACGGGAGAGGCGGAGTGCAGTTCCAACTGGCGCCCTCTCCATTTCGACTCTTCGCTGGCTCGGGCTCGACTATTATCATCGTGTTGGAGGCGGGGATCGTGCCGTGGCTTCGGCGTCGTCGAGTATCGTTGTGTCTGCTGGAAGGCTCGCTGTTGATCGGTTCTGTTGTGCCGTTTTTCAAGAGCCAGTAGTCGCGCAGTTTATCCAGGGCCGTCTTGAAGTCGTCGAGAATAACGGCATCGCAGAAACATTTGCAGACGAAGGATATCTATTTGATTCAGATGACTGGTTAGCTCGTCTGCCTTTGAGAGTCCTCGAAGCTATATGATATATACCATACCTTCCAGAATGGATTGAGACCCGTTGGCAGAGCACCTCGAAACACACCGAGCACGCTCAGTACATCGACGACGATGAAAATGATAGAAATGCACATCGATACCAACATGACCCCGAACCGAGGGCTATGACGAACGAGCTCGACGAAGCTAAAGTCGTATTGGGACTTGATTACCCAGAAGATGTTGCAGGTCGTGTATATCCACCAGGGGTCACTGTCGTTGCCTTGTCAGCTATAACGAACCTTTCTGCTGCGAGTATATCTACCAGCTCCATCTTACCGGAAGAGAGGCTCCCACGGCCGTGTCTTCAAGAAGAGCATGTTAATATTGTTGAAGAAAGCGAAGTTTGCATAGATCTCGATGACCCAATAGATCTGGGCCAGAATGACGGTGCCGATATAGAACATCGAGACCCGGTAGGTAAGAAACGGTTTATTCTTCATCCAGGCAATCACATTATGCAGACTCCAAGACATGTTCAGCCCGACTGCCGTGATTGAGAGGTACCAGCCATAGACCGGCTCGTGGGCAAACAGAAAGGTACCATGGCCCATCCCGAGAATCAACTGCATCCATCACATCAATATCGTGTGCCAGAGGATGCAGGCAGAGGGGGGGGGGGGGGGAAGGCGGTCTTACCTCTAGGAGAATGAGCTTGTGAAGCAACGCTTTTCGTCTCATGTTGGCAATGGTGATTGCGATCATAAACAGCAGACCTCCAACCATGAAGCCCTGCGCCCAAGCTTCCAACACCAGGCCATCTGGGTCAGTCGGGCGATGGATGGAGTTATCCTGATCTCCTTCGACGTGCATCCTGTGCGCCAACCCCTCCTGCTCGATGTCAAACCGGACTCAACCCGGCGATGAAGATGTCAACGTCCCTATGGTTGGACTACAATAAGGCCATGCTCTAGACAAAGTATCAACCGTGGTGACATTTGCATATCGTTATCTGGAGGAAGACATGAAGGCCCCGCCTTTGCTGATAGAGAGATTAAAAGAGAACACGATGGATAACGAGTGAGGAGGAGATACAGAAGTGAAGGAGAAGGAGTGTCAGCTCTGCATGTCTTGCTCAGCGGAGGATTTACTTCAACGTCAGCTCAGGCTGACTGACAGCGGGCTGTACAAGCTCTATGTATAGCCTCCAGACAACCTCACAGGGATCCACATGAAGCGCCCTGGGTGGCGTACCAGACAGCTAAAACTACTTATGCGAAGGGCTTCCCTCCCAGAGCGGGACCGTTGCAGGCGCACACCTAAACACTGTTAGCGTTGCCATGTGTTCGCATCCCGGAAGTATCGACGAGAACAGCAGGTCGTGCCACCGTCCCTTCGCACTCCGATCTAACTGCTGGTTTACCTGCCAACATGCCCTGATGGCAGCTTACAGGCCCTGGCCAAAAAAGTACACTCTTCCAAAGACCCCATGTCCTCTTGTGCTGGCCACACAAGTCGTTGTGATACATTCTCGCCATCAAGAAACCGTCCCGAACAATGGGCCTCCTCCCCCCTTTTTTTCGTTTCTCTCCCCTTACCCACCGAGCCGAACGAACACCAACAGTAGTACCTCCCCTCGACTCCGCCGAGGTTTGGGAAAAGGGACAGATTGTGGATTTCGGCGAACGAGTCAAAGCCAACAACGACTTGTCAGGAAAGTTTAACCACAAACAGCCCAGACATCTGGCCTAAAAAAGCCACTATTTGATGAGCGACTCCTCTTAGTCGCGGTTGGAGAGCGCTGAACAGGGGGTCTCTAGCGGTGGATATGATCGAAGCCCGGTAGCGCCCTTGCTCTATTGGACGACTGCCCAGGCGAGTCCAAATGTTATCTCGGTAGCGAAGAGAAAAGCAACGCCCACCCGTCAATCATCTGCATGTCATCGAGAAGCCGTGTCCGAGAAATTATCGAATTAATGTTGCGAAGTGCCATGGCCGAGATAGGTCGCTTGCATGTCTCGGCTGGCATATTATATTACTTATTCACTTCCATTTCCGCTGTCAACTTGACCGGTCATGTAAGGATATATGTTGGTGGTCTGAACAGACGCTCGGGGAAGCAGGGGTACTTCTCTGTCTATGTATAAAAAGCATGCAGAGTCGAGGCCTTCGCTTTTGCCCCTGTCAGTGGAGCTAACTTCATCTCTCTAAATTTTGACAATGAACTCTGCACCTTCTTTTTTCATGTAAGTATGCAGGTCCCAGGAGAATCTTAAAGATTGACAAATCTTAGGAGAGTACAATATTTTCAGGCTGGGCTGGTACAAAACCCGGATAAAATCATCGTTCAACCCAGATCCATAGACACATGGGACGCAGATCTGGCCCGACTGGAGATCCCGCCTGATCCGGGGTCGAATTTTGCCAATCTTATGTATCACATCTGCACGTTGAAAACTGTCTTGTCAATTATTGTGATCTGGCTGCTGTTTGCCGTAACAGCTAACTATAGTCGCCTGGCGCGTTTCAGGGGTCCACCTGCGACAATGTTGGAGCCAACTGCTCCATCATGAACAGCGGGAGTGCATACACGAAGTGCTTGATGGTCGATACGGCTAGGGGGCATGAGCCATTGCCGTGCCTGAACGGATAGGCCAGCACCTCAGATGGTGCGGATATATAACGGCGAACTCTTCCTCGAAACAATTACGAGCTTTTACGGCTCTAGAAGTCAAGAAACTCCTAGAATACTAAACTAGGGCCATGAGACGCTCACTTCAGCCTGAAAAGAAGACACTAAACGTCCGACGAACGGATCAAGATTAAAGCTAGGCAAACCTCTAGTTTTCTACCTACTTACCAACTAGTTTAATGGACAGAACAGCTTCACGGCTATTCCCCAAGGGATAAATAATTAAATGTTAGTAATTTCACTCTCCCTTGCTAACCCCACTTCTATTACTAGTTATGATAACTATCAGCAGAGAAATAGAGCTTTAGTGAATCTATTTCCCCGGGAGCGTATTACTATCTCACAAACTCGATGTTGTGATGCTGCAACGTACCTTGTCTTCTTTGCTGCCCAAAACCTTACCTCCTTTCATTATATTTACATTATTTTATTATGCAAATCGTGGCTGCATTCATACAACACTTCCAACGTGTTGGATCACTCCTCTCGAAATATAGGGTGAATCTCAAGTCAGTCAGTACTAGTCTTTCCTTCGGCTACTAGACTTCAAAAGGACTTGAAAGAGGGGTTTCATTTTGCCGTTTAGCCAGAACCAAGAGATCTTGACTCGTATAATTTGGAATCTGGGGGAGCTGGCAGCTTTCCCTACCAGTCTCGTATTTTGTAACAGGCTAACAATTGTCGTTCATTTTTGCCCTTGGTAGTAAGCACATCCGTTCAGGCGTAGTTTTAAACAGAGGGGTAACGAGAAGATGGCCAGATTGTCTAGGCTCAGACCGAGGACGCTGCAAAAGGTCTCAAGCACGCCTGCTGCCTCCTCCTTTAGGGAGCTTGAATACCTAATAAAAACCCAGCCCTGCAACAATCCTCACGAGGATACATACCCATAAAAGACCAAAGTCCCTCCATCTCGTATCATAAGATATCCGGAATCGGTTAAGAAACTCGTTCGTCGAAGCAACAGGCAGTATTCGCAAGTATCTCGACATGCTGGGTTTAGAACAGCACCCCCTGCTGCTTCAATGTAAGGGGGTCAAAAATTCTTTGCAAGTGAGTTTTCCAACCGGGGCCATGTGAAGAATCTTTCTCTCAGTACATTTCATGTCAGAGTTAGCAGCAGCGCTAGACATGAGGCCACCAACAAGGTATGTTGCTGGTGAAGGCCGGTAAATGAACGACCAGAATGGAAGGTCAACTGCAGGGACCCCCAAACCCCGACATTGTTTTCTTCCTTAGCATATTGCCTTCCTTACATCAAGAAATGCCATATAAGTTTGACAGTTATGTTGGAGAGTAAGTTTGCTGTAAGAGTAATATGTCAGCGGACCATGACTAGACTGTATGTACAAAAGGAGATCGATTTGCAAACCTTGAAGGGTCGTTCGCGCGCCTCATAAAGCGCACGCCGAGGGACAAACATAGGCATAAGCTGCTCGTTGATATTGATGAAAAGGCTAAGTTAATAATATGGGTAGTTGCCCACCTCCAAAGTAATCTGTTTTGCTTCCGGTGGTTATAAGAAGCAGTCGATCAAATTGATCAGATAAAACGCGGAGAGTTGATGGATAGTATGAAGAACAGCCTGGCCATTGCTTGTAAGCTTGTTTATAAGTTCAGAAATGGCTCAAGAAGTCTGGAAATCTAAATATCAATAACCTGCTCATTCAACATATCCAAGCTTCTCAAGTTTGGGTATGTCTGCAGACTGCTGCAAGGATGGTACTAATTGAAGGGCTTCCCGAACAGTTATTATACTAAGATGCAAGTCCTACTGTTGAACGTAGCCAACCTTGTGCCAAAAGGAAGGGTTTGTCGGATTTCCATTCACCTGGTATTGCCAGTTACAATTCCGGTGATGATACGAGTCGCTAGGACAGCTAGTAGAGTCGTTTTGCCTGTACTAGAAACACCCTGACAGAAGAGAATTAGGATCTCTTATACACCTCAAACATAAGGATGGTTTGATTTAACCATAAGAATGGTTGATACCCCGGGTTCGTCTCAGCCATCAACATGTTCCAAAAGGCGGCGTGTTACTCCCTTGATTTTAATGTCATAACAGAGATCGTGCCAGTGAAACCACAATGCTGTTCAACTGGTTTGAAGGTTCCATCTTCTTATCTTCCACCGGATGCCTTTGTACTTGGTTTTTCTGCGTCTCGAGCCAGTAGTTTTGTCAGCTTAGGAGGCTCTCTTCTGTGGTGAAATAGGAGTACTTCCCCACGTGTTTGAGAAACTTCACAAGCTCAGCAGCAAGCATGTACTCTGAGAGAAAGATGGCCAAATAAGCGAATAGAATGCCTATGTTTCTGTATGTCCCCATTAGCCTATAGGCCTTCTTAGCTATTAGTGGTGTATACTTACCTCCATTTATGTCATTCCAGTAATCAAAAAATTTGTTGATATAAGTGTCCCAATTAGCTAAAGCCAAAGCAGCCTCTGAGTCAACCACAGAGCAAATCTGGAACACAGATGGCAAACTTGTATATCATTGGCCACTAGGTACAATTCTGGCACATGGAAAGCCCCCGATTGTGAAACTCATCTGCCATTAATGCCTCAAAGCCATAGGCTAGTGGGTCGATATACGCCATCCAGCGCGACAATCGGGGTATATAGTCTAATGGCGTCGTGAATCCAGTATATATCATGAGACCAAGGCTCAAAACACGCTGGTTATCATCGCCTAGTCAGAGTTCGGGTCAGACAAGCTAACGTGTGGAAGACAGCTGATTGAACTAATGTTGTTAGAAGTATAGTTAACAGAAGAAGAAAAACCCTCCCGCCTAAGGTTCGCCATGAGGTAAATAAGGGCGTTGAAGATGAACATATTGACAATCTTATATGGCAGATCAGCAAGGTAACCTG